GAGACTGGCCCTGGCCAGTTTGGCTCAGCGGTTAGAGTGTCAGCCTGCGGTCCAGAGAGACCTGGGTTCGGTTCCCGCTGGGGGCACGTACCTCGGTTGCAGTTTGTCCCCAGCCCTGATTGGGTTGTGTGGGTGGCAGCCACTCAATGTGTCTCTCTCATGTCGATGTTTCTCTCTCTCTCTCCCCCTCCCACTCTATCTGAACAAAGAATGGAAAAATGTCCTCGGGTGAGGATAAAAAAAAAAAAATGGAAACTGGCTTGCTTATCTGTGTTATCTGGATAGCCTAGCATGTTTTAGACACCATCTGTGACTTGAAGCTTGAGAACCACTAGGTTTTCATGAGTACACATTTTTTAAAAAACTCCAAAGATTACTGAATTTTTTTTTAATCTAGGAAAGGTCTGTGACCAAAGCATGTGACACACTAGTTGTCACAGAAAATAATTAAACCGAGGATGAATGGGAATTTTCTGATTACTCTTGGGACTTTTTGTTTTTCTTCAGGAATTTGTTATAATGTACTTCAAAAAGAAAAATAAACCAAATCCTAAAAGATGCATCAAACTAAAATGCAAGGAAAATAAAATTTAAAGAAGAAAGGGCATGGGAATTTAAAAAACAGGAATGGCTTTGCTCAGTGGTTAGAGCGTTGGCCTGTGGACCGAAGGGTCTCAGGTTCAATATATGGTCAAGGGCACATACTTCGGTTGCAGGTTTGATCCCTGGCCCCATCAGGGTTGTGTGGGAGGTAACCAGTTAATGTGCCTCTCTCACATCGATGCCCCTCCCCCCCTTCCACTCTGTCTAAAATCAATGGAAAAATATCCTCATATGAGGATTAACAAAATAAATAAAATAAATAAAAAATAGCCCAGCCAGTGTGCCTTAGTGGATTAAGAGTCGCTCCATGAACTGAGAGGTCCCGGTTCAATTACTGGTCAGGGCACATGCTTGGGTTTTGGGCTCGATCCCCAGAGTGGGGCGTGCAGGAGGCAGCAGATGGATGTTTCTCTTTCATATCAGTGTTTCTATCTTTCTCTCCCTTCCTTCCTCTTTCTCTGAAAAATCATTAAAATATATATTAAAAAAAAAAAAAAAAAAAAGAAAGGAAAGAGACAGCAGATATTCTAATACTTAAAAAAAAAAAAAAAAAAAAGAACCCAGAATGAAAACAAGCACTAAGCACAATCTGTCACAGAAGAGAAAATTTGGAAAATCTAAAATAGAATGTAGATTTTAAAGGGTCATAAATACCGTGAAATGTCTTATTCTTAAGAATCAGGTGAAAACAATATAACCACACATTACTTTTAAACCATACATTCTCTAAAACATAACTATTTCTAATGATGGCATTTAACAACTGTAAAAGCATAAAAACTTGAAAAACGTATTTATCAATATATTAACAGGATTTGATACAAAAGATATATTCTAGGTGATTTTTATACAGTTTTCAAAGAAACATAATAGCCTTGGGAGGAATTCACAAATTCAAACGACTACAGGGTTAGAAGCAGGTAACAAAATGAGTGACAAGACAATAGGGAGTTGCAGGGACTGTGGCAAATCAGTAACCAAAGGGTACAGTCGCTAAGTTTACTCAGCTCAAGCCAGTTATCACAAAGAAAGCATGCCATTTTGCCAGACCTTCTAATTCTTAAGATAGATATCCTAGTTTTTATGTGCAAACTTTCAATGATTGAAATACTGGCAACTAATTCAAGTTTATAAACTGTGTGCAGGCCATATAACGCATGTTTGTGGGAAGTGTTCAGGCCCTTCAACTGTCTCATGTCATCGACATAAGGCACTTCTTCATTCATTATAATTGAGGAAAGCAAAGGTCAATATTTTTTAATGTGAGAACATCAGTATGGGATAGGTGAAAGAACTGCACCAGGTTTCAGAAAACCTTGGTTTCAGGTTTTGGCACTGCCATTTACTACTAGATGGGTGACCTCTTTGAGCTAATTCATTCATTTGTAAAATGTAGTTTCATGAACTATCCTGTCTAATTCACTGAGCTGTTGTAAGCAGCAAATTAGAAAATAGGTCAAAGCATATCATAAACTATAAAGCTGTATATAAATACAAGTCAATGTAAGGTAATAGAAAATATATATTGGTCTCGGCCCCCAGTTCCTGGCATAATTTCCTAAGTGATTAAAGCACTGTGAGCATCTCTTTTTCTAATATTTGGTCTTTGACCTGTTCCTGACACAGAGCTCCTAAAACCCTTGTAAATTCTTAATAAGAGCACTAGGAGATTCTTTTGTTCTAATGAGGCAACTCTGGGTGGGCTCCTGGATGAGGGCTGGTCACCAGAAAGAATAAGCCATGATTAGAAGCTTGGGATTTTTAGTCCCACTACCTATTCCCCAGAGAGAGAAGAGGAGCTGAAAATGGAGTAACTGATCATGCCTGCATGAGAAACCTTCTATAAAATCCCAACATCATGAGGTTCAGAGAGCTTCCATACTGGCAAACACATCCACACTGGGAGGGTGACGCTCTCCAACTCCATGGGACAGAAGCTCTTGAGCTTGGGACCCTCCCAGACCTCAACCTATGTATCTCTTCATCTGGTGGTTCATCTGTATCCTTTTTCATATCCTTTAATAAACCAGTAAACATGTTTTCCTGAGTTCCGTGAGCTGCTCTGGCAAATTAATTACATCTGGGGAAGAGATCATGGGAACCTCCACTTTTGGCCAAACTGGACAGAAGCTGTGAGTAACCTGGGAACCTACTACTTGCAATCGGCATCTGAATTAGGGTGGGAGCACTGTTATGGGACTGAGCCCTTAATATGTGGGATCTGATACTATCTCCAGGTAGACAGTGTCAGAATTTAGTTAAATTGTAGGACACCCAGCTGGCGTCGCAGAGAATTGCTTGGTGTGAGAAAAATCCACACATTTGGTGACCAATGGGGTTCCTCAAATATATTAAAGTTATGAAATCCTTTTCAAATTTTAAGTGCCCTATAATTACTTGGTAATAAATTATTGGCCTAGTATGGCAAAATATACTAATGAAGCTGCTTATAACACTTCCTAAAAAAGTGAGTACATTCCTGACTTCCCTAAACCAATGAGCAATTTACTGTAGCTCCTTTGGAAAAAGTTATTTCAAGCTCTCAGTTCTTTTTTTCCTTCTCCTTTAAGATGTGTACAGCTTACAATGGGTTAATAACAGAGTACAGTAACAGACCCAGGTGTACCTGTTCCCTACGGCTCATGTTTCTGGAGGCACTGCTCCCATCAGCAGATAATGCAGGAACAGGGAAGTAAGTGACCAGGTTGTCAGTTCAGGCTACAACTTAGGACAAAGAGGGCGCATACTCCTGACCATGACTTATAAATTCAGAATAAGGGGTAATAATTCTTACATCTACCTACTTTTATGCAAATGTTTGATGGAAACACTTCTTCATAACTATTGTTCTCATTATCATGGACTATTAAATCACACATGATGTGAAGGCTAAGAAAGTATAAATATAAGGAGCCCTGGCAGGTTTGGTTCAGCAGTTAGAGCGTCGGCCTGCAGACCCGAGAGTCCTAGGTTCAATTCCCTGAGATCGTACCTCCACTGCAGTTTGTCCCCAGCCCCGGTTGGGGTCATGTGGGTGGCAACCACTTCATGTGTCTCTCTCACATCAGTATTTCTCTTTCTCTCTTCCTCCCACACTCCCTCTCGCTCTATCTGAAGAGAAATGCAAAAATGTCCTCGGGTAAGGATAAAAAAAAACTATGAGGAACTGTACTGGATAAAAACTCCCTATCATATACTGTCCTATGAAATTTTTCATTTTCAGCTTTCATCAAACCATAATTGACCCAGCAAACTCAACAAACCAAGTCTCTTTCAGCAGACTATTTCTTGCAGAACAGTGTGGAAGTGAGTTGAATGATGGCAACTTGAAAGATTTAAAAGGCTCCAAAGTAAAGTTTTGCATTTAAAACACACTTCTGGTAAGATTATTGGTGTTACTTTCCTCCCCTCCATTTTCCAAACTCTTTGAATGACTTACTATTTTTAAAATTGTATATTAGAACAAAATCACCCTGTCATAAAAATAATTCTCCCTGCAATAACGTAAGAAAAAATTCTGATAGTCGCATTTGTTCATGGATGCCATTATGGGATTACTTAGCATCTGTTACAGAAATCACATGGGAGTTTACTCACTAATATGACTTAAATATCTATGGATAAATAAAATGTTAGTTTGAACCACTAAAAAAGACTCTTTAAAGCTTTAGCTAATAAAAAACTAAGTTAACTAGAGATAAATCCAAAGTTAATTACTACTTTTAAAGAAGAAAGAGAGTAAAAGTAAGTTTCCAGGAAGCTCTTTATTTATTAGCATCTTTTAAGGTTAAATCTTTTGAAGTTTTCTTGTAAATAGTAAGAAAACAGAGTGACTGTATAGCATAGTGATTAAGAATGTGGGCTCCAGAGTAGACTATCTAGGTTCAAATCTTAGCCTCCACACTTACTTTATCTGTAAATTTAGGCAGGTCACTTAGGCTCTGTAAAACTTCACCTGAAATTTAACTTAGACTGAAAAAAATGGCATTGAAATGTGGGATACATTTAATTTCACTTGAATTTAATATTTCTTCCCACTTCTCTGTCAATATTGAACACTAAATAAAACCCACTTGTTAAAAATTCAGCTAATAATACGCTAAAGGAACAGTTTTGTAAGATCAAATTAAATTTAACACCTAGTTTAAATAAAGATGCCATCCTTTTTTAACCTACTTTATTTATGGATTGAACTTTCCTAGGAATCATCAGATTTAATATCAACACACACAGGTAATATCATAGATAGCAACTTTCCAATTCGTTAATTTCTTTATATAGTCAAATCAATTCCTGTATAAAGATACCAAAGCTATTTCTTTTTCAAAACACATGTCAGTGCTATACTAGGGGTGTAACTCCTTATAAAGCAAGCACAAATGTGGCATCAAACTTACTTTTCCAAAGAAGCCTTTGAAGAACTTCCTTTCCTGGAGGAACAGGGGGACAAGTCGAGCGCTATTATTGTATGGGCTAAATGTCCCAGGGTTTCACACCAATAAGCACATATGGAAGTTGGGTAAAGGGCAGAGTAGGAGAAGGGGAGGGAGTGAGTTTTAAAGAGTTATCCATACCAGGAGTGACATGAAAATGCAGGGAAACATACTGTATGGCCTAAGAATCCATGGAAAGAATGAGAAGAAATCAGAACCTGCATCCATGCAGAGCAACTAGTTAGTTTAGTATTCTGTTTACTTTTGAAACAGAGATTATCCAAATTTGGTAGCAGAGAAAAAGATTAGGACATACTAGTTGCGTGAGATTTGCATTTTAAATTTCATAATAGTGAATAGTAAATAGAAGATTAATTCCATATACATTTTTCAACTGAAAAGTGGCCAACTATGTGGAAGTCATCAGTTAAAAAACCAGTTCACATTCAAATGACCACATAATCACACAGCAACACATAAAATTAAATTATGAGTGTGCAGCAAGGGTCCTTGTCAGACTTTTTCTTACTAAGTTCAAGATGTCACTTAGAGAATCCTTACTTATGCATTGGGATTAATTTGTATGTGTGCTGATCAATTCCATGACAATCATGGGGAAATAATAAATATGTTCTATTCCAAACATAGAATAAATAATCTATAAAGAACACAAGGCTAATGATTTCACTAGAGCAGAGAAAATAAATATGTAAGAACAAAACCATATCTGTGGACCACAACTGAAATGTAAGGAATAGGGTTTTGTTTTATTTTAAAATGTTCCTGTTTTAGAATAAAAAACTTGCAAGGACAGTTAAGTACATGATTCTGAAACTATGTACATGAGAGAGACACAGCTATCTATGGTCCCAGCACCAATTTTTAAGCATATACAAATTTTGAAAACTGGCCACCATTTAAAATCTGAAGAATTTATGCAAAGTAGATGGGTTCTAATTCACCCAAGCCAGATTAACTTTACATTTTCTAGTTTTGGTTGAACTGTACTTTAAGCCTTTACTTTTTATAATCAATTTTTAATGATGGACAAATGTCTAAAAAAAGACAACTATACTGAAATTTGACTCTCAATTGATAAAGTCATTAAAATACTGAATAGTTTGCTTGCTCCCTAAATTTTGAAAATGACAAACAGTATCAAATATGTCCATAAAATATTTTGAACTTAAACTGGAAAAATAATAAAGTAATTGGGATAGTTATCACAACAAGACTAACTCTATCTCTGCTGCCAAGTTTGGTGACCCTAGTTTTGTGAGACTGTGAGCAACCATCAACTTTTAAGGATGCAGCCAAAGTTAAAAGATTCACCATTCTTAAGGGATAGTGAGGTGAAGAAAAGAGATCCATTAATACTTAATTTAGCTCTCAGAAAAGCACTTGTTAAATATGGAGTTTGCCTTCTTTTTATAAAGGATTTCAGATGTTAATAAAAAAAAGTTGACGTGCAGAATGCATAAACAGATAGTTATTAGACTGGAGAATATTGTTTTTTAAAAAACAATTAAGTTATGATTCTTTTACCTGCTAAAACAAAAACATATATTAGGAAAAAATATATCAAATAGTGAATTAAAAAAATCAACATATTAGAAACTGGTAGTATAATGAAACTAGTCTAAAACCAAGACAGAGGGAGAGACATTTACAGGGACAATGGGGAAAAAAAAGACCTTTTAAAAGGAAGGGCATCTGGGATCAGTGTCAAGCAAGATAATCAAAGGCTGGATACACTTTTTACAGAATAGATTGATAAATGACATTACTCCTCCCTCATCCAGCACTAACTATGACATAAAGACACTGAAAATGAACAACAGATTATCCATAGATAGATCTCATACAATCTAAGTCGCTAAGTGGCTAATTTGTCAAATTATGTCACAAACTAAATGAGTTAAAAATAGCTATAACTAACTTTATGTATACAAAGTAAAAAACAATTTCAACATATTTAGGCTCTGAGAAGCATATGTTTAAAACACTATTCTGTGTAGTTATTATAGTTATCTTTTCACTTGAGAATATTAAATTTGCAGATAACTTCTAATTAAAGTTAAAATAATCATAAATTTTAAGGAACTACTTCAAGGAAAAAGAAAACTATTCTTGCAAACTACTCTGCTACTTCAATTCCCCACAGATTTAAAAAGCACTAGAATGTTAGTTTTAGTTTAAAGATTATTTAAGTGATAAGTTTAAGATGTTTGTTTTGCTACTTAACTGGCACATCTAAACTATATAATTCTTCAAATTTTAAAACACTGACACTCAAACTAATTCCATAGATATGCTATTTTTCTTTTTCTTTAATCTATAGGTTGTACACTTTTACATTTGCTTGCATTTATTTGAAATTCTAAGAGGAAGATTTATGATCTATAAAAATAAACAAAAACACCTCCAGAGACATAGCTTTTGGCATAATATACACATCTGATATATTTGACTATTGATGTCTGTTAGGATCAATGTTTGGTAAAGAGGGGAGGCAACTAGAAATTTCTGCACAGAAATTTGAAAAGAATTTTCATAAAAATATGAAAAGACAAAGTCATGAATTTTGTAGACTAATATGATTTATTTTGTTGCTATTAATCCTCAACCGAGAACATTTTTCCATTAATTTTTAGATAGAGTTGGGGGTGGGGGAAGAGAAACATTGATGTGAGAGAGACACATTGATTGGTTGGTTGGCTCACTGGGGCTAGGGATTGAACCTGCAACCCAGGTATGTGTCCTTGACCAGGAATCAAACTCTCAACCCTTAGGTCCTTGGGCCATCACTTTTAACTGCCCAGACAAACCAGCCAGGGCTAGGCTAATATAATTTGAGAAGAACAACAAGCTGAAGACTTTCAACTTTCTGCAACCTTCTCAGTACAGTATTAGAAAGGGTATTTATACAAGGGGGAAGTTTGAATATAATAACAGGAAATTGACATCAGTTATCTAAAAATCAATCTTACTTTAAAAAATACGTTTCCCGCCCTGGCCGGTTTGGCTCAGCGGTTAGAGCGTCCGCCTGCGGTCCGGAGAGACCCGGGTTCGGTTCCCGCTAAGGGCACGTACCTCGGTTGCAGTTTGTCCCCGGCCCTGGTCGGTCGTGCGGGTGGCAGCCACTCGATGTGTCCCTTTCACATCGATGTTTCCCTCTCTCTCTCTCTTCCTCTCTCTTCCTCCCACACTGTCTGTACAAAAAATGGAAAAATGTCCTCGGATGAGGATTAAAAAAAAAAAAAAAATACGTTTCCCTCTATAAAATTATAAGCATTTGCTCCAAATCTCCTGGATAGGTTTGGTCTGAAAAATTTCAAAGAATTTCTTGAATATAAAGTTCAGAAATGGCCCTGGCTGGTTTGTCTCAGTGGTTAGACCATCAGCCTGCAGACCAAAGGTCGCAGGTTTGATTCTAGTCACGGACGTGTACTTGGGTTGCAGGTTCGATCACCAGCCCCAGTCGATGTGTCTTTCTCACATTGATGTTTCTCTCTCCTCCCACCCCACCACATTCATCCCTTCCACTCTCTCTAAAAAATCAATAGAAGAATTTCCTCAGGTGAGGATTAACAACAAAAAAGGTTCAGGAATGGTCAATTTCCCCTCAAAGTTCAAAAGTTTAAGTATGTCCAGAAAAGCAATCAACATATATAAAACTTCATTTTAGGCATAAAATACCACCGGGAGCTCTGGCTAGTGTGGCTGGGTTGGTTGAGCATTGTACTGTGCACAGAAAGGTTGTTGGTTTGATTTCTGGTCACGGCATATGCCCAGGTTTCGGGCTTCATCCCTGGTAGGGGGCATACAGGAGGTAGCCAATCAATGTTTTGCTCTCACACCGATGTTTCTCTCTCTCTCTAAAAATCAATTTAAAAACTTTAAAAAAACCCCACAGGGACATTAGGATCTTTTAGAGATATGCAAAAGGGTTTCATAAACTTTAAAACATGAACTATAATTATGGTTATGGTGATTTTTATGAGATTCGATCTGACCACATATTGTAGACTGAATCTTTTCTATATATTCATTCTAGAAATATTTTTTGAATGGCCACTGTATGCCAGACACTATTTTAAGCACAGGTATAATTTTTTAAATGGCAATTTGGTTCCTATTTCTGGTGAAAATAAAAACTCATTAAATGTTATTATCTACATAGTCCCGTACTCTGCCCGGCTGGTGTGGCTCAGTGGTTGAGTGTTGACCCATCCACTGAGAGGTCACGGGTTCGATTCCCAGTCAGGGCACATGCCCAAACTTCAGGCCAAATCCCCAGTGGGGGCATGCAGGAGGTGGCCAATCGATGTTCTCTCTCACTGATGTTTCTATCTCTCTCTCCCTCTCTAAAAATTAATAAAAATTTTAAAATAGTCCTGTACTCAAATAAGCATGCTTATAATTTATAACATTCTTGGTTAAAAAAAAGTAAAATGAAACAAAAACATTCACTCAACTAAAAAATTAGTTTTAAAACTTGATACTAAATAGTGGCTATCTCTGGGATTACAAGATATTTTATGTACTGTTTTTGTTCATTTGTATTTTATACAATGCGTATTCACTACCTATATAATAAAGAAATATTTCTATTTAAAAGTAGGGTTTTTTCCCTTTATTTTATTTTTTTCCATCACCATACCCTCCTCCACCTCCACTCACCCCTTTACCCCTCACAATCACCACACTGCTATATGTGTCCATGAATTCTTTCTCTTTCTTTTTACTTTTTTCCTCAATCCCTCTACCCTCCCAATACCCATGCTCCCCTCCACTGAGCTGACAGCCTGCTTTCTTCTATCTATGAGTCTGTCTCTATTTTCCTTATTAGTTCAGTTTGTTCATTAGATACCACTTATGAGTTAAATCATAAGGTACTTATCTTTCTCTGACTGGCTTTTTAAAAAACCTAGACATGCCCTGGCCAGTTTGGCTCAGCGGTTGAGCAATGGCCTGAGGACCAGAGTCCTGGGTTCGGTTCCTGCTAGGGGCACGTACCATAAAAAAAATAAAAAATAAAAAACCTAGACAGTCAAGAGGGTTAACTGCTCATTTAACAACTAAATACCGTTTCTTAATATTTTCTGGGAAAATTTAAATTATCCCAAGATTTTCCTCATTTAGAGAATAAACATGAGTTAAAAGACTTTCTAAAGGCTCATCCACAGTGACCTTCTAACTGTAAGTTATAGAAGTTATAGGACTTGAATAAACTATTTATAGTTTGTTTCAGATCTGTCTGTTGCTTTTAGTCATTAGTTTACAATGTTTAAAATGTTCTTTAAATGACTATAAGGCAACTCATTACATTACTTTTAAAATGTTCTTAGGTAGCCCAGCTAGTGTGGCTCAGTGGGTTGAGCGTCATCCTATAGACTGGGAGGTGAAGGTTTGATTCCCAGTCAGGGCACATGCCTGGGTTGTGGGCTCGATTCCCAGTGGGGTATGTGCAGAAGGTGGCCGAATAATGTGTCTCTCTCACATCGATGTTTCTGTTTCTTTCTCCCTTCCACTCTAAGAAATTAATAATAATAAAAAAATTTTTAATGTTCTTGGCTAAACTTATTTTTCTAATTAACTGAAAATTATTTTGTTAAAGAGGACACTGAATTTATATTTCTTGGAAAATTACATGATCTGAAACTGTATTTAACAGGGGAATATGTTCAGGTAGACATGGCAAGTCTATAAATTATAGTTTCATGTATCATAATACATGGATATAAGTCTCTTTAACATTATGATAATTGGAGAGCACAGACAGACTAGGAACGACTTCAGTTATTTAAGAATTTAAATTACCAAAAATCTAAGGTAAAGGGGATGTGTGTGTGTATATATGCGTACTTGAGTCTATATTGGTTTATTTTTTATTTTTTTAGTTATTTGCACAGTATAATCAGTTATTTTTCTCTTCTTTTCCCTTCTACAACAGATTGAGGCATTTCTTCTAAAATACAATCCCATTCTCAGGGGATTCCTTGATTTTATATTTTTTATATGGAGGAATTATAGAAAAGAGGTCATACAGAATGTACCAAGAAGCAGAAAAGTTTTGATTATTAAGTAAACTAAGAAAAAGCACTCATTAGTAGCAAAAATTGTGGCAGCCCACCAAACCAACAAACCAAAAGCAACAAGTATTTAATGCTATTTGGGGCAAGGACGTGCAGAAGTAATGCTTAAAGCTTTCAGAGCAAGGAGGGTGGGAAAGGCCACACACTGGAGAGAAGGCAGGCTGTGAAAAGGGCTGTCAGAGTCTATGAAACATTCTTCAAACCTATCCAAATATGAAATTAACACTTTAATCCGAACCTTTATGAACTCTGAACCCATTCTCTCCTTTTATTAAATAAATAGACATGTGCCTAGGATGTGTTCTATGGCATAACAGGCAAAGTAAACATTATTTATCTTGGAAAAGGATTCTCCATTTCAAATATGCTGAAGTTTGTGCAAGAGGCAGGGGAGTATACTGTTTATGTCTGAGGAGTGTAGAGAAGGAAACTGGGAGTAGTAGTCACATTAGTAAGTCCTCCCCAAATGTAAACCTCCCTAGTCATCAACGCAGATGTCTCTTCTATTTTTCTTGAAAAGCTGTTTCCTATAGTAAATTTAAAATCAATAATTTATAACCCAATTATCACCATTAGATTAAGACACTAACTATAGGGACATCTGTAATACTTTCAACAATAAAAATTTTTTTAAAAGACACTAACTATAACAGTTTTATCCTGGTTTTAGAATATTATTCATCTATTCGTCTGTAAGATTTCATACTACTTGTTTAATATGGGTTCTGAATCTTTATCCTTTTGGATAATGTCTGGCCTAAATTGAAAAAGTTGGTCTTTATAATTTACACCTTTGGATGGACAATGTGAGATACTCATAATTAGTGAACTCATCTTTTGCCGTAAGAGAAACACTGTTCTTCCTGGATTGTAGGTCACTAAAATTTACTAAGCAAAATCTTTTAAGAAAATATTTACAGCATATAGACCAACACTGGCAACCATCAAATACATACAGCTTTCAATCTTTTTACAGCATCTTCACAGATGTGCATTCCTCTTGATTCATCAACTTCTACATGGCCAAGGTACTGTAGAAAGAAAAGAAAAGTTAAGGTTTTTGCTATGTTTATTGAGTAGCTACTACATGGTAGGTATCAGATGGTAGAAAACTGAATATTGAAATTCCTATACTCAAGAAACTCACAGCCACTGTAGAAAGTTAAGATGATATTACTTTACTTAGCTGCAGTGTCCTCATATGAATGAGATTTCTAATAAATGTCTTTTTTTTTTTTTTTTTTTTTTTTTTTATCCTCACCCGAGGACATTTTCCCATTTTTTTGTTCAGGTAGAGTGGGAGGGAGAGAGAGGAACAGAGAGAGAGAGAGAGAGAAACATCGATGTGAAAGGAACACATCGAGTGGCTGCCACCACACGACCGACCAAGGCCGGGGACAAACTGCAACTGAGGTACACGCCCTTAGCGGGAACCAAACCCGGGTCTCTCAGGACCACAGGTCGACGCTCTAACCGCTGAGCCAAACCGGCCAGGGCTCTAATAAATGTCTTAAAGAGTTGTAATAAAAGAGGATGTGGTAAGCATTAAATGTTTTCTGAATCTATTGGATCTCAGGCATAATAATCTGTGCTAGTCACAGTTACTGTATTTATAAACATAAAAATAATCCTAAAACACTTTATGTACATATGTATGTGTACACACACACTCTCTCTCTCTCTCTCTCTCTCTCTCTCTCTCTCTGAAAAAGGCATGAATAAAAATACCAGTTATGCCCTGGCCAGTTTGGCTCAGCGGTTAGAGCATTGGCCTGCGGTCCAGAGAGACCTGGGTTCGGTTCCCGCTAAGGGCACATACCTCGGTTGCAGTTTGTCCCCAGGCCCTGGTTGGGGTCCTGTGGGAGGCAGCCACTCGATGTGTCCCTTTCAGGTCGATGTTTCTTTCTCTCTTTCTCTCTCTTCCCCTCTCTCCCTCCCACTCTACCTGAACAAAAATGGAAAAATGTCCTTGGGTGAGGATAAAAAAAAAAAAATACCAGTTATTTCAAGGCTGAAGAGTTCACATACTCATTTAAGTGGGACACATGAGAGCAGGGCAGAAAACTAAAACAAAATTTAAGGCAGCAGTGCATCTGAGCTTTAAAAGATGTGTAGCATTTGAAGAGGCAGAAATGGAAAGTTTGGGAAACTATTTTAGGCAGAAAGAGTTCAATAAGAGCTCCTGGTGTAGAACAGGATAACTATATATCAACAAGTATTACTATTTGGCTGGAGTATGAGATATATGCAGCTGGGGAATTTGAATGCTAAAACGAGTCTATATGCAATTTGAGAGGCACTGGAGAGCCAATAAACCTTTTTTTTCCTTGCAAGGTGGTAACATGATTCAAATTGTACCTTAGTATGGGAACAGTCTTGGATTTGGAAAGCAGAAGGGATGGTGGCAATATTACAAGTGCTCTCTTTCAAAAGGAAATTTGGGGTCTGATTCTGGGTAAGATGGAGTAGATACACTTTACTCTGTGCCTGGATGAAACCACAAAACCTGGATAGAAGGCATGGACCGCCTATTTGAGGTTTCTGGAAAGAGTAGAAGATGAATTAGAGAATAATACTGGAATTCAAGGTATTTCTGAACTGGCAGGGAGTTTACCTCCCCTGCTCTTCTCCTCCTTGGTACCTACTGCTGTGGCAGAGAAAAAACTCTGGGAAAAGCACTGTATTTCTGGCTCAAGGACCAGGTAAGGGAACTCCTTATCCTCAGAAAGAATATAGAAATTTGCCTCCCTTTTATTTACCTTTTCTTTCTTCTCTCACACCTCAGCCCTAGAAAACCCTGTGATCGTGGTGGTGCTGGTAGCAATGGAAACCACATCTCTGAGAGAAGGGAACCTTCCTCTCTATTCAGTGGAACTGTGATGCCAGTAAGGAGCCAAACCCCATTCTGCTTCTTCCCCTCTCTCTGTACCTCCCATTTGGCCCTGGAATGGAGGTGAAATAGTGGTGATGTGTGGGAAACACAGGTATACAGAGTTTAAGTAACTTGCCCAGGTCATTCAGTTAATCAATGCTCAAACCCAAGCAGCCTGATCCAGCTTTATAATGCTTATATACTGAATTTTTCACTTTTACTCCTATCTTTCCAATGATGAATAAATGCATAAAACCAATGTAGAAAACTGCTGGACTTTAGATAATAAAATATTTGAAGTATCAATCACAAAAATCATAAACTAAGGCCAAAATTATTAAATGTCTAAAGAATGGTAACAGCTATAATTTTTGAATAAACATTATATAAAACAGCAAGAACGCTCACTCTTTAATTGTGAATAAAAAGGAGCTCTGTAATAAGTCTAACAGAAAGTTACCACACAAGGTGATCTGATCACAGATTCCTAACTGGGCAGGTCATGGTGGGTAGTCATGCCTCAGGCCTATAACTTTCCTAGTAAAAGGTTATCTTTGCCTTAAACAAACCCTGTCCTTTTTTTTTTTTTTTTGACCACTGTAAATATTTAATTAAAAAATTTTTTTTCATTAAGTTTATTGGAATGATATTGGTTAATAAGATTATGTAAGTGTAAAGTGTACATTTCTATAATACATGATCTGTATGTTGCATTGTGTACCAACCGCCCAAAGTCAAATTGTCTTATATCACCATATATTTGGCCCCCTTTACCACCATACTATTGTCTGTGTCTATGAGTTTCAGTTTTATATCCCACATATGAGGGAGATCATGTGGTTCTTAGCTTTTTCTGACTCATTTTGCTTAGTATGATATTCTCAAGGTCCATCCATGTTGTCATAAAAGGCAGTATTTCATCTTTTCTTGTGGTTGAGTAGTATTCCATAGTATATATGTACCATATCATCATCTTTTTTTTTTAATCCTCACCAGAGGATATTTTTCCATTGCTTTTTTGAGAGAGTGGAAGGGAGGGAGGGAGATAGGGAAGGAAAAAGAGAGAGAGAGAAACATTGATGTGAGAGACACATATCGAATGGTTGCTCCTGTATGACCCTGATGGGGGCCAGGGATTGAACCTGAAATCCAGGTTCGTGCCCCTGACCAGGAATCGAACCTGGGACACTTCAGTCCGCAGGCCGACACTCTAACCGCTGAGCCAAACCGGCCAGGGCTATTCTTAATTTCTGAGGAGCCTCCATACTGTTTTCCGTGGTGGCTGTACCAGTTTACATTCCCATCAGCAGTGAATGAGGGTTCCTTTTTCTCCACGATCTCTCCAATACTTATTACTTATCTTGTTGATCCTATCCATTGTTTCTAAGTTAACATACCTGTGAAATGCTTTTTCAGAACACCCTCAAGGGAACACATAATCTTGTTAACTATCCTGTAATCAATCCAATCTTAGAGATTTCCCTGCCTTGCTTTCTCCTATGTAATCTTGTAATTCATGTATTCATATATTCTCCTTATGCTCCCCACCCCCCATTCCAAATGTATAAAAAGAAACTGCAAACTCTCACTCTGGGAAGCATTTTTCTCCAGAGCATTTCAGATCTTGCTTCTGGCATGTAGTCAGTTTGCCTCAAATAAACTCATAAAAATTATCTGCAGGTTTGGATGTTCTCTCCATCGACATGGTGATCAAATAATATATTATATATCGTTCTAAGCTGAAAGAGTATAATCTCTTTAGGGCCAATTGGAATAATACGAAATCCAAGAAGATACACAATCATGCCCTGCATAATGACCTTTCAGTCAAAGACAAACTGCATATACAACAGTGGTCTCGTAAGATTCAAATGGAGCTGAAGAATTCCCACTGCCAAGTGACATCTAGCTGTCTTAACAAACTAGTGCAATGCATTACACAAGTACCATTGTGTTACAATCACCTACAGTATTCAATGTAGTAATAGGCTGTATGGATGCACAGCCTAGCAGCTAAATGGGGACAGATTTTTGTCACCCCAGAATATCTCTTTGGCATAAGGATTATTTTAGGCTGGCTAATTTTTAAGAAACAGCATACAAGGGAGAAGCTCTGAAATCCAAGTAGAAGTTACCCTTTGTAGGAGACATTTACCTTTGTAAGGGACATCTCCATTTGGAAGGGTGTCCCCCTTACTGTACCAGGAATAGGGGAATGAACTTATCTCTAGAAACTCTTATCAATGCAAAAGACAAGGATTTAAATCTGCTAACAACCTTACCCCCATTTACAGTGCTTTTCCTGGTGACCTCCATTAAGACCCCCACCTGTAATGTCTTCGTTTGTCTAAAGCTGAAGATTGTATTTAAGGTGGTGGCTTCAGCCATTTGGGCTCAGTAAGAAGAGCATGAGCTTTAAGACAGATTCCACATTTAGTCATCTTTGCTTATCTCTCTCTTTTTTTTATTAAATTAGAAAAATTTTAATTTAAAATCATAGGTTGTTAAAAATGTCAAGTGTTTGTGAGGCAGGATAGTAAGAAGCTAGAAAAATTCCTTGGGAAGGGGAATGAAGAAACTGGCTGAGCAATTTACAGCCAGATGCAAAAGGTCACCAGGGTAGAAAGCCCTGGGTGCCTAGCAATGGGCAAAACTTGTGGCGAACCTTGCCCCCAGGGTGGCCTTTACTTCCCTGGCATATCATTGGTCATGGGGAACCTCTCCTGACCTTTCTTCCCTAGAGATAACATCTAGGCCTCAGTTGTATTTCAGGTCTAGGCCCAGAAAAGCAGCTAAACCAGGCAGACCAGGCCAGGACCAGCATACATGACTAATGTCCCCCTGACCTGGCAATGACCAATCAGTGAAGACCACTAATCTGAAAGGGCACATCTGAAAAAGCTGTTGAATATTCAATTGAGATCCTCCCCTAAGACCCTCCCCTGTTACTCTGAACTCTTAAATGGGAGAATACTGGTATAGAAGAACTATTATAGAGGACCAAACACGTTGTTGTCTACTTTAAATACCAAGCTCTCTGAACTTGAAATCTCACAGTGAGCAGGATAAGACTAAAAATGTCATCATATTTAAATAAATTAAATTTAACAATGTCAAGCCCTGGCCAGTTTGGCTAACTGGTTAGAGTGTTGGCCCCTG